GGGGGAATCTCCCTATATATAGGGTCATTAGTAAATATGCCCTTTCTTAGGTCACTATAACCTAATCTTGATGGGCTGCGCTGCATTGCGGCTTTCTTGAGATTTGGGCCCTGAAGGACTTTTTTCTCCCGAACTCTGGGGAATGCCACGTGTCAAACAGGGATAAGTCCACTTTGGCCTTATCCTAGGCTGACACGTGTCGTCTACGGGCTAAAACCACAAGGCATGGGCAATTTTTACCTAAAACAACAAGGTGACACATAACAAGTCACCTTCAAAAATAGGTGACCAATTGCAATACCCCGTATTTTTATACGTTTTTTTATTTAAAATAAGTGTTTTGTGAAGTGATTAAATAAATTGAAATGTTTTATTTAATTATTTATAGTAATTTAATTGTTTATTTTAATAAGTTTAGAAATATTTTATAAAAGGAAATTTTATTTAATTAATTATTTTATTTAAGTTGGGAATTAATTTAAGAAAGTTTTATTTTAGTAAAATTTTATTAGGAAAGGGATTAGGAAAGATTAAAAAGGGAAAATTTAGGAAGAAGGGTTTCTAGAGAAGGGGTATAAATATTCAACACTTGGGGCAAATCAAACTTTGCCTAGAGTGGAGAAAATTACCCAAGGTAAACTTTCTCTCCCTTCTCCTTTATTTTTTCTTTTCTTTGTCTTTCTTTTTCCCCTTCCCCCTTTTTGTCTTTCCACCACTATCCACCACCATGCCACCGGTGGGTCGTCGACCACCGGAAGCAGCAGCAGCGCCACCAGCAGCGCGACGGCAGCCAGCTGTGGTGTCGTGGCTGCCGCTCGGTTTTCCGAAAATAAAAAAATTAATCTTTAGCTTTTAAAAATTGATTTAATCCTAGATCTAATTATTAAATATGAGTTTTGTGATTAATATTATGATGTTTGATTTCAAGTAGTATGTAATTTAATATTCAGATTTTAGTTTTAATAAAAAAAAAACCCCAATTTTGAAACCCTAGATTCATAAATTACTAAATATTGAAGGATTATGATATAAGATGGTATAAACCTTTTATTTAAGTGTTTTAAAGCCTAACTACAGCAAGTTTTTATTAAAATATAATGCTGGAATTTTTGGTAGTGCATTAAAAATCAAGTTTCTGTAAGGAATTTTAATTACCCATTAATTGGGATTAAAGTATAATGTTTCAAATATAATTTTAGCTTATTTTAATTAAATTATGAGGGGTTTAATAATACTCCCTCCGTCCCCGATTGATAGTCACTATTTCCATTTTTGGACACCCAAAATGTTAGTCACATTTCACAATTTTAGGTGCCATACAATAACACAAATGGACCTATATACCCTAATTTTTTTTTTGTATTATCTGTGCTTCCGAAATACCCTCATATTTGCCTTTTTACTTGTGCCTTAATTGAATGAGTTGTCTCCCTTGAATTTTGGTACTCTAACTCATTTTGTAACGTTGCTTTCTCTCTCTTCTTTTCTCTCTCTTCATTTCATTGTTTTTCTGGGTTCTTCCATTGAAGAACGACTAATTTCTTCCTTCTCTCTCTTCAAATTGGGCAATTTAGGGTTCAAATTTGCCGAAAAAATTGTGGATCGGTGTTGTACGTGTTCAAACGAATCAAAGCCCTCAACTAATTTTGTGAATCCGCCCTTTTTAAAGGGGATAGGTATCGATTTTTTTTTCGATTTCCTGTATATTTATTTTTTGAAATTTTGTTTCATAAATAATTTGATTATATGGGGTATTTGTTAAATCTTTATGATGTTTTCAATTTTTTTTAAAATAATTTTATTATACAAAATAATTTTGATTTACTTTACTTCTTTGCCATGGATCTTGATTTTGTTCAATACTACAGAGTATGATTTGGAATTAAAATTCTTGCCCTAAATCATGATTCGTATGTGAATATTTGTGTTTACGATTTTATATATTTTCCCTAGACCCTGATTACGATTTCGTGAGTTTTTTTTCAATTTAATTGATGATTTTTAAGGAGTATGTGAGATTGTCGATCATGTTAGTTTGAAATGGTTAGTTGATAACAAGTATAAATCACGATTGTTATGTGGCCTTGCTAAGGATGTGTGATTCTGAATTTGAGTAAGGTTATCTGTTTACTTGAATTAGGGTTTCACTGTTCACTTGATTTAGGGTTCACTGTGCATTGCCTGCAATATATGAGGGCTATCACTTATGAAACAATGTTAGAGGTTTATTGTAGTTGTTGACATTGTTATAACATGAGTCATATTGTTTGAATGCTTCATGGTTGAAACAGGAACAAAGGACCCATTGTTATAGCATCTTGATTACATGTTTGGATGTGTTAAGTGCTTGTATACTCATTTAAACTTGCTGGTTTGATGTTTGGCTGTTTTGAGTACTTGTATACTCATTTAAACTTGTTGGTTCCATGTTTGGCTATCTTGGGTGCTTGTATACTCACTTGCTGGTTTGATGTTTAGCTGTCTTGAGTGATTGTATACTCATTTACACTTGCTGGTTCAATGTTTGGCTGTCTTGAGTGCTCATATACTCATTTAAACTTGCTAGTTCCATGTTTGGCTATCTTGAGTGATTGTATACTCATTTAAACTTGTTGGTTCCATGTTTGGCTGTGTTGAGTGATTGTATACTCATTTAAACTTGTTGTTTTGATGTTTGGATGTCTTAAGTGCTTGTAAACTCATTTAAACTTGCTGGTTTGATGGTTGGCTGTCTTAAGTGCTTACATATTGATTAAGCCATGATTGAGTAAGTCCCCTGGTTGCTTTTGCTTTTCAGGTTGCCTGTGATAATGAGTGAGTCCCCTAGTTTAGAAGAATCACACTCTCATCACACCCACAACTATGAAATGTATAGAAAGCAGAAGGCAAGCAGAGAAGAGGTTGATAAACCATCTAAATCTCCGGCCAAACCACCAAAATCCCCAGCAAAACTCCCATCTATATCTCCTGTTCAAACTCCTGCCAAGTCTCCTGTGAAGTCTTGTGTTCGAATTCCTTTGGAACAACAAACTAGTTCACTTGTTGACAGGATATTTGCTGATTCCAGATCACACTACACATCTGAGTCCTACCAATGCACTGACCGTGACTGTGAATTAGGCAGTGGCTGTGATGGGGAGCACAGTTACAGCAATGTGACTTTGAGAATAAGATTTGGAATTGTCCCTAAAGGCATGCCACCTGCAGACTCTGACTTTTGGCCTCATAATTGGTATAGAAGGCAAGCTAAGAAGAAGGGTTTGCCAAGACCCTATGACAATGTTGATTTTGATTTCTCAGACTCCAATGATGATGATGGCGGTTGCTCCCCTTCTAAGATGCATGTGTCCTACAAAAAAGATTTTGATAATGAATCACACAGCTAAGTTTCAAAATGCCTTGGTGTTTTTTTTTTTTCTTGTGGTTTTTTGTTGTTTTCTGAGATTGGGAAGATTTGAATGTGATGTTTGGTTGTATTTAGAACATGAGGACAGGATTTACCTTGTTGGTTTCCTATTATTTTTGTTGTTGTTGATGATGATGATCTTTGGTTGTCTTCTTGATATGCCTTGTGGGTGGGCTATTACTTTTGTTGCCTACTATCATGATTGGTTGGATATGTTGCCTATTGTTTTTTGTATAACCTTGATGATGTTTGTTGCCTTGTTGATATGCCTTGTTGGTTGCCTATGCATTACCTTTGGGTGAATTGTTGTTTCTTATGCATTACCTTTGGGTGAATTGTTGTTGCCTATAATTGTTCTTTATTTTGGGTCTTTTTTATTAAGTCATGGTTGGTTGGTTTTTGTTGCATATTCTGCCTGTTATTGTGCATGATGAGTATATGCGAGGTCTGTAATGATAGTTTTTGTGCATTGAGAAGGCATATAGGATCTTGTTCATGTCAGTTAGACCACAAGGTACCATCTTCCTTAAGTAAGCTATAATGCATGATATAAGTTTGATTTGGCTGCTCAATTTGCCTTTCATGATAAAAAGTTAACAATATGAGACCTCTTTAAATAACATGTCCATTAACTTACTTAGTGTCCTATGACAAATGGGATTCTTGTTTAGTTGTTCATATTATTGCACACTTTACAATTATCCCATTTGGTAATAGTACATTATGTGTAGTGATTGTAACTTGCTGAGGTCAATGATGAATGATGGGAGTATGATGTTATCGGGCTTTTTGTTTTTGCCATATAACTTGATATTGTGTTTTGCTTTCCTATTTGGTTAGATGAGATTGCTTGTGTGTCCTTTGTGTGAGCTAGTATTCCACAGTATAAGTCTTCAATCATAAGCACTAAGTGGCCTGAGACCTTGTGTATGTTGTAATGTAACTTATTTTGTTCAATAGAAGGGGTGTGTAAGTAGTTTAAACAATGGTGTTTACCTATTTATACACCCCGTCTGTTGAAACAACATAAGGTGTTGGTTTTATTAAACAATGATGAGTCTTTTTTATTGAGATGCCCAACTTTAAATGCCCTATCTTTCTGTTGTCCTTAGAGAATAACTCAGAGTACTCTTGAATTATTTTCTTTGCTGACTATGGATTGTTAGTGGAAGTTTGGTTGGAGTGTCAATGATGCTTGGGGACAATCTGATTTAACCATAACATAGTGTAATGACATTTTTTAGAGCACTTTGTTTAGAAAAATAAAATGCTTGTTTCATTTCATAATAAAGAATTTGATTACATATTTATATTAACCTAATGTCATAAGCAAAACATGAGCAACAAATACATGTCAAAATATTTAACACTTGACCCCTGTTCACTAGTGTTCATTGGCATTTGAAGTAGATGCCTCGTGATCAATGGCCATAACAGGCCTATATGCCTCTGTGTTTGGCCTTGCTTGTGTGTTGTGTTCTTCATTTGCTTGTGTGTTGTCAATGTTGACCTCTTCAGTGTCTTGCTCATCATCTGAGTCTGGCTTGTCCATGTACACTCTCTCCCATGCATCAATCATAGCCCACATAGGAGCTTATATAGGATCTTGCAGTCTTCCCTCTCTTTCCAGCTTATCTTTGTTAACATGTGGAGGTTCAAACCTATTAGAACCTTTACTTTTCAGAATTTGATTCATTGTGTGGCACAAAGTTACCCAAACCTTGAACAACCTTGTAGAAGGTAGCTCATTGAATGCATCTTCAACAGCCTTTATCAACTGGTCTGGTGTCTTAGCCATTTTCTTGTGTTGAAGTGATTGGATGCTTCTGAAAAATCCCAAGTCCAAAACATTCACGTCTGGATTGTTTGGTGGCTGATGAGTTAATATAAAAGTAAACCTTGGCTGTTCACAATGTTCTTGCCAAACTGCATCATCTTGAGTAATATGAGCCTTTGCATTATCTTGCTAAATGTATATTGTGTTGTGTTGACCTATGTGAGGCCATTTTTCCATAATTGTTGGAATGACCTTTTCAATCAACATCCACCTTGATACATCCTTGTTGATTGGATCAATAACCTTTGTGACCATTTCTCCTTTTTTCTTGTATTTTGAGCACCTAAGTGCTAGCTCCTTTTTTGCAAAAGGAAAAATGCCTATTTTCCCATCTAAAATAACTTCCTTTTGTGCATTGTAACAAGGTTTTGCAACTGCTCCTTGGAACATGAATTTGGGAATAAACTTGGCTAATTGCATTACTCTATGTAGACCTCTTTCTCCTTTTTCTAAGTATAACCTATGTGTTTTTTTACTCAGTGTAAACCACTTTTTATCAATGTGCACTGTTTTGTACATTGGCTGGTACACTCTTTTTGAGCCTGGTGAATCACCTATAATGCTGTTAAGAATGAATCTGATCATATCTAGTCTGTTTGCTGGTGTAAGCTTTGGCTTTAATGCATTCGTGTGAGGTCTGACTTCCCCTCTCTTAATTAGTCTATGGATTGTGCTTTTACCAACATTAAGCATTGCTGCTAAGTCCCTTTGGCATGATCTGTTCCCCATTGCCACTGCCCTTATGGCATCATTTGGGATAGATATTCTCTTTCTTCCACAATTGTGGAAGCCTGTTAATATATTGTATTGTAGTTGTGCTTCCCTTTGTTGCTTCCCCTTTTTCTAGATTCTGAGTACAGTTCTTGTGCACAGATTTAAATGATTAGCTACTTGTTGAATGGATCCATATTTCAGGTTTCCATTTGTTGATCTTGTCAACAACCATATCAAAATGTCTAACTTGGCCCCACTACTAAGCCTCCTCCTTGTTGGTTGATGGTGAACTTCAGCATTTTCTGGGTTGATCGGTGCTTGTTATTGTTGTTGTTGCTTGTTGTGTCTTGTTGATCTACTGATGCTTGCTGATTGTTGTTGTTACCTGCTGTCTCCATCTGGTTGCTGTTGTTACCAGGGGAAGGGGTTTGGTTTAAGCCCAACCCAATGTTGTCATGGGTATTTTTTGAGTCAATTTCATCATCGTAGGCAAAGTTGAGATCATACTCAAACATTTCTTGCATTTCAGCATCATTAGCAGCAGCATCTTCATCCATGTCATCATTCAAATCGAAGTCTGAAGCCATTTGGAGTTGGAGGCAATGATGTGATTTCGGTTTTTTTTTTTTTGTTTCAAAGATTTTTTTGATAATTATGCTTTGTAAAATTCCCTCTCAAATGATTTGAAAATTTGAGAAGGAGTGGTTTTTATAAGGAATTCAGTCTGAAGCTTAGTCATGAATCTATGTACTTTCATTCTATTGGATGTTGTAATTTTTCAGCTAATTTGATTGGTTTAAAATCAATCACATGGATTAGTATTGCATTGTTTTAATTTCATTGGCTGTGTAATAAAGACAAAAAAAAACCAAGGGTTTCCTCTTTTTTATCCGCCCTTTTTAATGACAATCAGTTTCTCTCTCTTTTTTTGTTTTGCAAATGATTGGGTTTTAGTTCCCATGTACTTTCTTTATTTCTCCTTAATTCCCGTGATTTTCACCCAAAAGTGACTATCAATCGGGGATGGAGGGAGTAGTATATATTGCTGGAAATTTGTGTAGAGAGGATTTTAATACTCTCCTATGATTTTAATTATAGGAGACTTTGAAGTGAGTGATTTCTATTAATCATGGCGATATTAAGATCGTATTCAAGGTACGTTCGCGTACTTAGCATATTTTTGATGATGTAGTAGCATGCTAGATGTGATTAATTGATTACAAGTAGTATCATGCTAGATTTGGAATGGAAATTATGATTTGGTTGTTATTGGTGATTGAATTATGAAGCATGATTTATTTGTGATGGATTAATCGTTGGAAAATAATAGTTTGAAATATTGAATATGAACCACACTTTTATTTATGGCATGATAGAAAACATGTTTAATTAAATTAAATGTTTAATTTGGTTTGGAATATTAAAAGAGAATTTTTATTATGGTTCATATAATTTTTATTGATGTTTTAAGCATGAGAAAGGATCTATGTAAGTGTCTAGGTACACAAGGAATAAATTGTATGTTGGTGCCTTAGTGCACTTAAGGTGTTTTTAACACCGAGGAATAGGATTTTTGGCGTATTAAGCGTTTAAGGTGTCTTTGACACCGGAGGGAATATTTCAAGCATCCCACACTTGAGCCCCACTGTGATCATACACTTAAGCATGGTGGCGTCCAAAGGGAAGGAATCTAGAGTAAAAGAGTTGTCAACAAGTTTTAGGAACTTGTAAACCGTTCACAGGGTGAAGGTTACACCCCTTAACGATCCAGAAGATCGTTAACTTCAATAGGTTTGGAATTATGACTGGAAGTTCGGGGATGAAGGTACAAATCCAACCTAAAAGAAATTGAATCTGCCCTAAAAATAGGTCTCTACTTTATTCTTCTAGTATTCATATGCGCTTTTTGACTAACATACAATCAATATTTTAACCCTAAACCTGTTTATCTATGTTGGTTGAATATTAATGCATAAACAAATCAATTATTGGCGATCACTTGAATTATAATCATATTAACCTAAACAAGATTATTAATTATCTTATTAAGCGTGATTACAAGTACAAATTCCATTTAAACATTCATAAAAGGCGTGATCATCAAGCACATAACAATAATCATCATAATAATAAAGCATAATATTAATAGCAAGATCCTAGGCATGATACTAACAAGATTAATAACAAATCCTAGCATGTCACTAAACATTAAGATTAAATCTTTAGCCCTAACATGATATTAGAAAGAATAGGAAGCATCATATAAACATGCATGATATTAGAAATTTTAGTTTACCCTAAACATGATACTAGGAAGCAATAAAACATCCTAACATGATACTAGGAATTAGCAAAATAATCTAAGCAGGATTCTATATTAAAATAATAACAATTAAATTACTTACTTGGATGCTTCGTATCTCTTTCTAATAACAAAATACACACGTTAGTAACTTCAAGGAAAATAATAAATCAAACAATTAAATTAAATAATTGAAATAGAGATTTGGGACCAAACCCTCAAAAATATTAGACCTTTCACGTCTAAGGCGAAGGAAACTTAAAACTTGGCTAGGTGTGTCTAGAACTAATGAATGAGGAATTTTGTGAGAGGGAAGGTTTAGAAAGAGAATAGAGAGAGAGAAAGCTTCTAGCTTTTAGAGAGAGAATAGCGAGAGATGATTATTGTGAATGATGAAAAACAGGGAGATACGATCCTTATTTATAGAAAAATAGCTCAGAATCAAATCAAGTCATATTCGGAATAAAATACCTCTTGTCTCCAACAAAAGGAGTTAGCGCCAGACGACAGCTGTCAGCGCCAGGCGACAGCTGTTAGCGCCAGGCGACAATTTTGTCGTCTCGCGCTAAGTCAAAATTAAAACCGCGCTTTGTACGCGGAATCATCTTCTTAAGATGATTAAGCAGCTAATTCCGCGTTAAGTAGATTAAAATCATATTTATGACAAATCACATATTTTATTCAAAATAAAACTCTTTAAAATATAATTATCAATCATAATCTCATTAGAATTTAAAAGAACCTTTTAGATATTTCTAGAAGATTAAAATCAATCCTAATAACTTTAGGATTAATAATTAATAAGCCCTCCTCTATTTCATTGGGCCACAACTAAAATTATTTTGGGCCTAATTTAATTTAATCCATAACTTCCTCTTTGTTCATCGGAATTGGGCTTATAATATATCGTTGGAAAGCTCTTCTCAACCCCAATCCACTTACACTATTATTGGACTCTTATCATGGACCAATCTAAATTGGACTGGCTATTTTCATAAATAGAGTGAAAGGAGAAATATTTTTTAAAACAGAAAGAGAGATATTTTAATAAAAACATCCACATCATTAGACATTTCACACTTTCACTTTGTTCAATAATCAAATGACATGAAAGGTATTCATCAATGGGTTTGGTTTTGGGGAGACACATTTGGGTGTCTACAGACACCGGGTAGATTTAAAAAGGGTTCAACATTAAATATTATGTGGTCACTAATTAATCAAGAATTAAATTAAAGTGTTTAATTGTTTGAATAATCATGATGTTTGATGTTGTTATGATTTGAGAGTCATCACCAAGTCTAATAAATTGTAAAGAACATAAAGTGAAAGAGATTACGCACCAAAACTCTTGGAACGTATATACCTTGAGTATTTACATATGGGGGGAGTTATGGGGTTTTATATTTAACCATAACTTCTACTGGAGTACAGGACGATGTACATTCCTTTTATTATTATTATGCGCAGGTATTCCACCACTTACGAGTGGTTCTTTTATACTGGCACGGTTAGCTCCCGTGTTAATACCCCTTTATTGGGGCAGGTTAGGGGGGAAACCCGTTCGATACGTAATCAAAACTAAATAAATTATTTAGTTACTTAGTTGAGAAGTTTTGTTGAATTTTGTATGCTTGAAAAACAAGTGCAAGAAGGTAAGTTGTGTGTTGATAGGAAAATGCATGTTAGTGTGTTTAAATATGCTTATGTACTTAGCTTTGTTGACTGTGTGTTTGTGTGTTTGTTGGTCTTGTCTTTACATTGGCCCTATGATGACCCCTTTTTAATAATGGAGAATAGTGGAAACAAGTAGAGAGAAGCTTTTCAGGTGATAAAGCATATTCATGATGGGCATGAGTGAAGAGCGAATCATGCTAGTTTCCATAAGTATATGATGTGTTATTGCTTTATTTATAGGAAATTTTACAAAAAATTACCTTTTATAAGCATTTTTTTTTGCAAGAAACCACCTTATAATTTTTTTTTTGCAAAGACACACCTTAATCAACCATACCTTTATGCTAGAAAATAGAGTAAAACCCTATTTTCCGGCGTTGACTACACCATTTGCACCCACGAAACTGACAGTGGAGGGAAAAAGGGTGGCTAGGGCTATAGAGGAGGGTTTAGGGTGATCAACGTTGTTAAAGGGGTGTGTTTAGGGTGGTCAACGCCGTAAAAGGGGGTGTGATTATGGTGGTCAACGCCATGAAAGGGTGGTTTTGTGGGTGGGGCTTAGAAGGGAGGTGGTTTCGTGGGTGGGGCTGGGGAGAGAGGTGGTTTCCTGGGTAGGTTGGGGTAGTCAATGCCAAAAAATGGGGTCAAATCTCATTTTCCGACATACAGGTATTGATTTGCAAAGAACATTTTGATTAAGGTGTGTCATTGCAAAAAAAAAATTTATAAGGTGGTTTCTTGCAAAAAATTGCTTATGAAATGTGGTTTTTTTGAAAAACTAGTTGTGGTGCACGCGCGCGATGCGCGCGCAACACTTTGGTTATCGGGATAAAAAAATCAAATATAAATCAACAAGTCGAATAAATTGACAACATTATAGAACGATCTTTTCATTTAGTATCTACAAGCTAAATGTGTAAATTTATTATTGGAAAGCATTTAAGATGTTAGGGAGATAGATATATCGAAACAATGACAATGTGTTAATTAATAGGATTTGGTATATAAAAATCTTAAACAATAACCCATGTAAAATGTAGGAGGCCCAAATTCAATGTTGTTGGTTATTGAATTCACTGGAAAAACTATCGTTGATTAAATGAAGCAGATCTATTTTCTGATCCTAAAAGAAAGCCTTGACATTCAATTTATACAAAAATAAAAATATTATTATATTAAATATTAATGTAACATCATTTTGATTTTATTGTCGTAGTAAATCTGCCTCTTTCATCACATTATTGCGATTTTTAATGATCAAATTTATATATTTTTGAAGTACTTTTTTTACATTTTGAAATTATTTATTTATCAAAAGGACCTCTTATGTAACATTGAACCTAAAGCCAAGTTTTATTGAACTTACATTCATTCAAAACATAAAATTAAAAAAAAAATGGAATATAATTAGCTTACCTTTTTTCGTCTTTGGATACTGAATTTCTCTTGTTATTACGTTTTGCCTTTTTTTTTAAAAAAAAAAAAAAGAAAACTATCTTATAAATTTATTAAAAACAACAATTACAACAAAAAAAATCCCTCAATAATCAATACTTGTATAGTTGTATGATGTTTACCCTTGATAAATTTATTTTTCCCTTTTTTTTT